CTATCGAGCTCGAATAGCTGAAATACGTGCTGAACAGGCCATTTTTGTTGACGAAACGGCTGCAAATAAGCATACAAAAGACTGTTAAAGAGGCTAGTTAAAACGCGGCATATTATATAGAGTTACTGTACTATATAAGCATTTAAGGAAATAGAGTATTTGCCCTGTGATAGATATTAATAGTTATCTTAATTATAAGATATATTATAGTAGCTTTAATACTAAGAGATTCAACAACTTTATTCGAAGATTACTACTGAAAATAAATCTGTATTCTAGGCTACGTTCAGTACTAATTATAAATAACTATAACGCCTACTATAGCTAGGTAGGGCTCAAAATAGCTCTATTTAGTATTAATACTAATAATAGCGTTTAGGAGCTTCAGGATATGTGCGCAAAGAGAGGCGTTCTATTAATATTCCTTCCTTTATACTCTCCTAATTTTAATCCTATTAAATTGTTATTCTCCTTACTAAAAGCATAAATAAAGGGGCATTGAGAGCTAGCAGATGGCTTTGATAAGTGGTTTGAGGGCTTTTTTTATCTTGCTATTTAATAGTGTAGTGTTAAGAGGTATGTAAAAGCATATTTTTAACATTGCTTTTTTGAGATTAACAAAACTATTGTTAATGTGCCTTACGATATTATTAAGAAGGTATTAGACTAGCTTAGAAGGAGTACTCTAAACGCGCTTTTAAATGATATTATTATCGTTGCTGTACGATTTATTATTATATAGTAATCGTTGAAAAGTAAAACTAGGTTATCTTTTGAATTCTAATATAGAACCGCGTTATATAGCCAAAAGGGGGGTCTTAGCAAGTCTTAATATAAATTTTCAAATTAAGCGACATTTTAAAATTAATTTTTATAAGCTCTTATATAAGTTAGTAATCTATTTATATACTAGTAACTAATTTTGTCTACAAGCCTACTAAAATAAATAATAATACATAAAATCTTAATACACATCTTAACGTTTATTTACATTTTGAGTATTAAATAAGGGCTATCTAAGAGAATTCAGTCGCTATTATTAATCTTAAATAACTATGAATGCTCAAAAATCCATCATAAAGAGTACTATCAGCCTCCTTAACGCTCTCCAGATAATGTTGATGCTATATCTTGTTGTGCTGCAGCAAATCCACGCGAATACCGTGGCTAATACCCATCTCCTTCCAGTCTTCTCTTGCTAAAAAGGCCATATCCGAGAGCCCTATGCCATGCTCGGCCAACTTCTTGAATGCTTGTTCGAATTCAGCTTGTTGAGCCAGTCTATCCTTGATTCGCGAGCAAATGAACGCGGTGAGGCGAGCATCTTCATCTCTAGCCTGTGGAATCGGGCTGCTCAGCGTCACAAGAGGCTGTAAAGGCGTCATAGCCCTTGACGGCGTTGCTAAACCTCTATATTGATCCTTACCGTCAGCAGACTTACGGAGCATAGTATCCTGCTGTTGAGCGCTGCTAGAAAGATTGAGGTTGAGCGTCAACCCCCCAGCTAACGCTAAACTTGTTGTTGACGCTGCTTGTAGAGTTGACAGAGGCTGTAGCTTTTTAGCAAGCTCTTTCTCCTTCTCTCTAGTTATTCGTTGAGCTAGAGATATAGGAGGATGCGCTATACCAACACCAGGGTCATCCTTAATAGCTTGATTCCACGCTTGAAGATGCTCTCTGTTAAGTCGAATATGACTGTATAACAGCAGATTATAGCAAGGATTGCCAAAATTGGGACAGCTTTGTCGCTTACACGTATGACGCTTAGTAAGAGTTACTATATAATTAATTATAACAGTCTGTACGGCCTCTTCAACTGCTCGCTAGCGTGTACTAGTAGTTGCGCGTGGCTTTTTCGCATTTGAGGCTATTTTGGCCTCGCTGTGAGCTCTTTTATAAGCTGTTGGCGTTAGCAGGCCCTCTTCGCTGTGTACGCTTTCAATATCCTCATCGATAGCTTCAAAATTAGCTACTAGAGCAACACGTAGATAGGGCAGAGATAAGCTCTTTGAGGCAGCTAGCAGCTCCTGTATCTTGCTCTCAACAGTAAACATATCTCCTTCGTCGTCAAGGGTATATAGAAAAGGCTTTTGAGCGCCTTTTTTGACGCTTGCCTCAAATCCACGAAATTCAGCGCTTTTGTTGGCTCTACACGCAGCGTTAGAGGCACGTTGATGAGCATCTTGCTCAAAATCGAGCTTCGTCGACTTAATAGAGCTATTATAGATAGCCTTTTTACCTAAAACAACGCTCAACTCGATGGTATAGGGCTGAAAACCGATCTCCTCCTCCTCCGCCTCCTCTACCTCCTCCTCCTCCTCTACCTCCTCCTCCTCCTCTACCTCCTCCTCCTCCTCTACCTCCTCCTCCTCCTCTACCTCCTCCTCCTCCTCTACCTCCTCCTCCTCCTCTACCTCCTCCTCCTCCTCTACCTCCTCCTCCTCCTCTACCTCCTCCTCCTCCTCTACCTCCTCCTCCTCCTCTACCTCCTCCTCCTCCTCTACCTCCTCCTCCTCCTCTACCTCCTCCTCCTCCTCTACCTCCTCCTCCTCCTCTACCTCCTCCTCCTCCTCTACCTCCTCCTCCTCCTCTACCTCCTCCTCCTCCTCTACCTCCTCCTCCTCCTCTACCTCCTCCTCCTCCTCTACCTCCTCCTCCTCCTCTACCTCCTCCTCCTCCTCTACCTCCTCCTCCTCCTCTACCTCCTCCTCCTCCTCTACCTCCTCCTCCTCCTCTTCCTCCTCCTCCTCCTCCTCTGCCTCCTCCTGTTCCTCCTGCTCCTGCTCATCCTCCTGCTCCTCCTGCTGAGGAATTGCAACACTTTTGGAACGGGCAGTATTGCTGGATCAGGTATCTGCGTACTACAAGGGGTCCCCCCGCACACTGCTAACTCTGCATTAGTACCTTTGGGCCCAAACGACATGCCCATAGGCAGGTTAAGCTCAAGTGGTCTTGCTAACTACGGAATACCGTAGCAGAGCTAATCTCCTGACCGTCTCTGCCGAAAATAATCAAAGGCTAGCCACTACTAGCACCCCATCTAACGACATCATGCGACCCCGTTGGTGCTGGTAACTTAGTATCGTGGTGTTACATTGCACACGTGCTTCCCGTGTGAGAAATGCCCAACCATTGAGACAAAGATCAACCACTCTACATAGTACTCCGTGTTGTGTGCCAAATCAACTGGCTAAAGGCTTACCATTCAGCCAGCCTTCTATGGATGCAGGGGACCTGGCCATGCTGGTCAGTCGTCTAAGGAATTCCCTCAAAACCTGTTCAGACCACGCTCTCTGGAACTCAATCGCAGATATGCTTTGCATGAAATTTTTAGCTTTTGGGGGCCAAAGCACTTGCAGGGCAAGTCACTATGCTTGAGTAGCCAGGGACAACCATTCCGATATCTGGCAGTATACACTCTTATTGTTCTGATCTGCGTACATGATTTTTCCGCACATGCCTAAGTGGCAGACATCCCACCCATATGGCTATTGTTGGCTCAATCGCGAATGTACTTGGCTTCGCTTAACTGCGAAGGCTTTGCACGAGGGTCTTGCAAGGGGCTTCGCCGACCAGTCGTCCTGGACAAGACATGGGTAGTATAACCCCCAGTGAATACTTAGAGAAGGTCTATGTTCATCTACTTTTCTTGATTCTATCTTACTTCGCAACTGTTGATTTCATACCTTGAGCACTCTTCCAAACACCGTACCCTAAGTTCCCCGTCCCGGAAGCATCCCCTTCGTCACAATGTCTTTGCCTCCGCCTCCGCCTGGACCACTGCCTCCGCACGCCAACGACGACCGGGGAAAAGCTGCAGTGGCTGTGTACTGGGCTCAAGCCGCCATCGCCATCATAATCGTGGCGCTGCGATTCTACGCTCGCATCCTCATCCGCTCTCTTGGCGCAGATGATTGGCTCATGTTTTCGACTCTCGTGAGAACTCCTAGCTCTACAATCCACCTATAAGCACTAATCAAACCTCACAGCTGATCTTCATCGCCATGTCCATCTTGATCACCTACCAATCCAGCCTTGGCGGCTTCAAGCACATCTACAGCGTGACGCCAGCCAACCTCCCCGAAGTCGGCAAGGTGAACTACATGTTGCAAGCCTGGGGTCTCTTCTCTTTCGTGACCGGCAAAGCAGCGGTTGGCTACCTGATCCTACGGGTCATGGGCAACCGGTTTGTGTGGCAGAAATGGACGATCTGGGTAGCCATCGTTCTTACCTTGGTGCTTAATTCGGTGAACATCGTTTTGACGTTTGTGCAATGCGACCCTTCACGTGCACTATGGCAGAAGGATATCAAGGCGAAATGCTGGGATCCAAAGGTTCAGGCTGATTTTGCGTTTTTCGTGTCTGGTAAGGAGTAGTGCTATCGTTCTGCAAGGCTTGGGGAAGACCGCGAATTGCTAACGACCCACCAACAGCGGAAAACACATTTGTCGACGTCGTCCTAGCCGTCCTCCCCGTCACGATCCTCTGGAAGCTCAATATGACGTTCAGGAATCGGATGATTCTGTGCATCCTCCTGGGACTGGGACTTTGGTACGCTTTCCACAACCACCCACTTTCAGTCTTACCTAGCGCCCCTGAACCCCTCCCTTTTTTCTAATCCAATACCATGTACTCTCCCATCCTTGCTAATCCATACCCGGAACCCTCCGCTAACATTCCATCTCCCCAGCGCCGCCATCTGCGGTATAGTCAAAATGACCTACCTCGGCTCTCTGACCGCGCGCTCCGATATCACTTGGGAGACATACAATCTGGTCGTCTGGTCCGGCGCCGAGACCTTTGTCATCATCATCTGTGGGAGCGTCCCGCCCTTGAAGACGCTCTGGAGCAAATACGTCTCCAAGAGTACCCTCATCGGTCCAGACACCCGCCAGCGATATGGTGGTGGTCCGGATGGTGAAAGGATGGCAGCGAGGATGGCGTCTGATAAGGATTCGTCCTTTGCGTCGAGTAAGACCGGGGTGAGTCATGTTGAGTCCGAGCATAGAAAGGATTGTATGAAGAAAGGCGGCGCGAGGGAGATCCATACGGTGAGAGATTTTGAGGTGTCGAGTGCGCAGATGAGTGTTTAAGAAATAGAGTGTAGAATATGGGTTGATTGGAGATACATCTGCTGTATTAAGCCTGTACGGCCTGGTCTTATAGGAGATGGCTAGCTGGCATCTGTGTATCATCATAGCGTGTAAAGTATCTAGCACGTGTAAAAACTTACTTTGGTTGGGACTGTACAGAGATAAAATGCCTATTCAAGTAGCTAGTCACAAATAAGCATTTTCCACACGTGAAACCTTCGTCTTCAAGCTTTGGCTACCAGGACATTCACTCCGTACTACTACTCATAATAGAGTGCCCCTACTAGATGAATGCTCCCCCTTGCCCACCCAGCTCACAAATTTTTCGCTCCTCTTACCAACTGCTCTCACTCAGCGATATTTCCCAGAGCAATCCTCTCCAACGTCGACAGTACACAATGTCACAACTAAGCAGGATTTCCGAACTTTCAGTCGTGATCCAAACCAGCACCTCCAAGATCGACGAGTACCTATCAGCCGAAGGCCTCCCACCACTATCCTTTGATGTGCACAGCGCCTCCAAACCGCCAGACGCCATCTTGCCCTTCCAAACCGCCATCCTCGAAGCGATCGACGAACTCCATGCCCTGGTCCAAGGACCCGTGCCTTTCATAATCAACCTTACCAGCCGCAATGTACCGAAGTCTTCACTCACTCCCTCCTTTTACCCAGAGCTCTGCCGGAAAGAAAGCAAAAACTCACTGACTAACCAATTCGGCATTGACAGCACAACTCCCTCATCAGCCTGCACGCCATCTACCGCTTCAGCATCGCGTCCAGCATCCCCATCGACGGCGAAGCCACCTTTGCGCAGATAGCGGAGCGGTGCAACCTCGCTGAAGATGACGCCCGCCGCCTCCTCCGACACGCCATGACATTCCGAATCTTCCGCGAGCCGCGCGAGGGCGTGGTGGCGCAAACGGCGGCTGCAGCAATGGGTCGGCCAGACGTGCGAGGATATGTGGCCGGCGGCGACGAGGGTCGTGGATGCCATGGCGCGCTGGCCGGGATCGGAGGAGCCGAATGAAGCGGGGTTTAACGTTGCGAACGATAGCGTAGATCCGGTTTATGTGGAGATTGGGAAGGATGAGCAGCGGGCGCAGAGGTTTGCCGATGCGATGACTTTCTTTCACCAGAGGCCGGGGTTGAATATGAAATACCTGCTAGAGGAGTATGAGTGGGTCTCCGGGCGTGATCGTACCCTATTTGTGGATGTAGGCGGCTCGCACGGCCCTGTCTCCATCGCTCTGGCAGAAAAATTCCCATCGTTCCACTGCATCGTGCAGGACCTACCGGAAGTCATCGAAAAGGCCAACGCACCACCACCCGCCATAGCGTCACGGGTCGGATACATGGCGCACGACTTCTTCGAACCGCAGCCCGTCTGCAACGCTGACTATTACTACTTCCGTTGGATTCTACACAACTGGAGCGACAAATACGCTCTCCGGATTCTGCGTTCCCTGGTGCCTGCCATGAAGCATGGTGCCAGGGTCATTGTGAACGAGTTCTGTGTCCCACCACCCGGAGTGTTGAGCCTGTACCGGGAGCGTGATGTGCGGTAAGTTGAGGCCCTGACTTTGCTCAGGAGCCAAATGATTCAGGTACATTGCGCTGATAAAGTGGGTACAGAGGATATGACATGGCGATGAAGGAGCTGCAGAATGCGAAGGAGCGGGATGCAGGGGAGTGGGCGAGACTGTTTGAAACGGCTGATCGTAGATTTTTCATGAAGGAGATTAGAGAGCCCGCGGGGAGTGATTTAGCAATCATTGTAGCGGAGTGGGTGGCAAAGGACGAAGTAGAGGAGAAGCAAACAGCGTAGGATGAGACATGAGCTTTCCGATATATACGTACATACTGTTACAATCTTCTAACGTGATCTGCAAAGCCCTTTTGTAGGCTGAATTGTGTTTTCATGAGGGCATGAATTTTTCTGCTATTGCATCAGAATGCCTTTCGCTCCTTTTCCTTTTTACGCCTCCTCGGACTATGTCAATCTCCTGCCTAGCTGGAAATCTGGGTGGTGTATTAGCTGTGTAGCAACTGCAAATGAGAATCCTCTGTATGTAGTAATACCTGTCTGTCCTGGTCGCGCTCCGCATCAATGGGGTTTTTCTCATCACAGTGCCCAAGATAGGGATTGTCAAGAATGTATCCCGCCTGCTTTTGAGCTGCTCGAGACCATTTCCGGACCTCTTCCCTGGTCCACCATAAATGCTGGTTCTCCTAACAGGAAGTCAGCCAATGAGAATAATGGTACCTTTTAAAATTAACCAAGGAGCTCAGGAGGTTTGCGATAGCAGGGAAACAAATTCTCTTGTACCAACCTCTGGCCGTATGTATGAGCGACAAAAGAAGAAGCCATGCACAGGTCTACTTTTGGGGGTCGAATTTGCGCCGCCACCATGGACGGTAGAGGACAAGAAAACAAACGCCTCGCCCAAGCTCATTTCAGCTGATACCGCCTCCTCGGTCTTTGGACGCCTGGAGTGGTCCCACATGTGGGACCCGGGAATGAACTAGATGGCGATAAGGCACGTGTTGTCAGCAATGGTCATCATGCCAGCAAAGGATCTGATGAACGTACCAGAGTAGCCCCATTCTCAACAGTAGTAGCCGACCCGGGAACGAGGACTGCCATACCAACATCCGAGCCTAACGCATACTCATTTCCCTGATGACCACGGTGGGTTTGCTGCCAGATGTAGTCGTCGCGGTGCAAGCCCTGCTGTTTTACACCGGGTCCATTGTCCAGCGTCGTTGCTGCCGAGAGAATGGGACCCGTAGACAACTCCACGCCATCTTCGAAGTTATACGGCTGAGAGACAGTGCTCAGGAAATGGTTGAGAATTTTGAGCAGGTCTGGTTGTTGGAGCCAGATCTCGCGAGCCGTTTCGCTGCGCCCGAAGAGGCGATGGCAGCGTGCTACTCCTTGCGGAAGACCACGTGATAAGCGCTATTAGGTCTCGTTAACCTTTTGTTCGTGACCGAGTAGCAATGAGTTTGTTACATCTTTCACGATTGCGCTGATATACGGTGCGGCGTCGGCGTTGACCTTCTCTACCTCGCGTGGAGTTGTGAAGCCAGTCAGAATGACGCCTCCATCTTCTTTCAAAATGTCTATCGCGCTGTGCGGGTCACTGAGAGCTGTGCGGCGAGCCATGTCAAGCTTCACTCGTGTAAGAAGACCTTGTATTGTCGAGTATCCTCCAAGGGACTGATATCCTTCGAGCTCTATGGCTAAGGAGCTCAATGGTCACCTATATTGAACCCACCGTGATAATAATGCGGCAAACAGCAGCAGAGAGCTGCAACAAAACCACATTTTGGAAGGGGGAGATGGTGACACAATGAGGTTGGAGCAGATTGAAGCGGAACCGACACGCTCCGCTGCAGCCCAGTCTCGTCCTGTGGCTATGGTAGAGTGAGAGCTCAGCACCAGTAGCTGCGGTAGTGCTGGCATAAATGTAGTCGGATACTACGATCCGATAACAAATACCTCTGATATATGGCCTATTCTACCGAATAAGTTATAGAAAGCAAGGTGTCCATCAAATCAAACAAGGCATGATTTGTCAACCCGAGTCAAATCTCAGTAAGCAACATATTTCTAGGGATTTACTTGAATTCTCATCCAGTTCGAGTGTCCGCCAAGACTATTATTATCCTTTAATATTTCAAAATACTGAAGGGACTTTTCTGTCAAGACTTCAGCTTGACTAATTTGCCAAGATTTGATTTGATGGACACACTGAATTAGAAAGAGATGCTTCGCAATCATTATAGGAAGATGAAGAGATGGGAGGAAACAGATGCTGCTGGAATCCTGTATTTCTGAAGACTGACACCTATTTTTACGTCACAGACGCAATACTGGATCTGAGGAGGGATGCTAATAGTCAATTCACAGAAACAGTAACCACGCTGTTTCTAAGCTGTGGCAGCTGGTACATATTGTGTATGGCTCTCGAGAAAGATCACACCAAATGAATATACTAAAAAGGGTATTCTAATCGGCAGACGGTGAATCACGAAAGAACTGAAGCTACATCTCATATAAGCCGTCAATAAATAGCATCTACGTATTACCAAATACCCAGTCTTAGCTCCGTTCATGGCTATGGTACAGGTTTCCTCAAAATACCTCCCAATCTTCCCTTGGTCCTAAGTCTATCTTGCTCCCGCGCAGGGTCATGATAGAGTTTGCCCGACTCAATCTCAGATGCTCCATGAGCCACGACCTGCTCATGTGCCGCCAACTTTTCGGGAGGTGCATGTCCGATATGTCGGTCAATCGAAGAGTTGAGCGTGCCGCGGAGTGTCTCACCCGCTCCCTATAACGGATGTGTTAGTGAGCAAACTAAGTGCCTTTCGACCATATTTACTTACATGTATACCCGCCGCAGCTACCTTCAAATTTTGGAACGTTCCAGGTCGTTGGCCTGGTCGGGTTGTGCCATCAGGTGCTATGTGTTGCGCTGGACTGGAAGCTTGGTTTGGGGGGGATCGTTGACCCTGATATGCCTGCTGATTTGGATATGCATGCTGGCCATGAGATGTCTGCAAGCTCGAATATGGTTGCTGGCCTTGAGACGTTTGCAGGCTCGAATGCGGTTGCTGGCCTTGAGACGTTTGCAGGCTCGAGTACGGTTGCTGGCCTTGAGACGTTGGGTGACCTGGATATGGCTGATAGGCCTGCTGCTCTTGATGAGGCTGTTTGTCTTTATGTGCCCCCTGACCTTGATATGGCTTCTGATCTTGGTGGTATCGCTCACCTTGAAGTGGCTCCTGACTTTGTGATGGCTGCTGACTTTGGTGTGGTGAGGTCCTTGCAGGGTAGGAAAAGTTATGCTGTGATGGGCTGCCGATCGGCGATACAGGCGGTTCCGTGACCTCACTTATCGGTCGCGGTGGCTGGTAGTTCATTTCTCTTGAGATACGTCTGTTGCTCTTCGCCGGTATTGGAGGGCCCTCTTCTTCTGCCGATGCTGCGCCAGGGACAGGTGCATCAAGCTCGGCAGGATTTGTGAGGTGGGCGGCGGGATTATACGTTCCAGGCGCTGCACCGTGTCGGGACTCTGGATGTCCATGTTTAATTTCATTTTCTTGCTGGTTGGCTGGTCTGACGTGCGCCGCAGTTGGGGCGCTTGTAGGTTCACCTGAGTTACGAACTGTAACTGTGGCATCTGCCTCTGCTGTCGGCGTCGATTCAGTCTTGATGTGCTCCCCAGAGCCCGTAGTGACTGTAGTGGTGGTTGTTGTGGTAGTGATTGTCGTAGTCACGATGTTTCCTGTGTATGGATCTTTCTTGACCTTTGTCTCTGATGGCTCTGCTGATTGTGGTCGTGTACATGGCTGCTCAGATGCTGTTCGCTCAGAGCCACCGTAGGCAGAGTCCTTCGGACTTGGACCAGGTCTAAGGTGACTGGCTTCATCTGCCCGAGTGTCGTTATGACCTCCTAGCATGGAGCGCCATCTGGACTTCTTCTCCTTTTCTTGGCTAGATGGTGCCATCTGTCTCCTTCTGACTGCTAGATGTATTGGTATGTGGCACAATGATACACAACCTCTTCGCACTATGAAATGGAGAGTGTTCTTATCTTCGTTGCAGTCTTGTAACTTATCGATTCTTGAAGGTGACCTCGGATGATTTGACTTATTAGCTGCAAGCTCATTTGGTCAGAATCCTGATCCTCCACGAGCGGCATGATGTCACACGGCGCAGCCAGAAGCCACCCCTTGGCGATAAAGGATGGGGGCGAGTTTAGTACTTCACAGTATGGGCTTGTGGCAAAATATAGACAGAAATATCTTCTTGCAGCCTGACAATGGCTAGTAAGTTATCTGTTAGACGCTTGTTACAATGTTACAGAGCAAGATTCATCTCCAACAATGACTACATTTACAAAATTTATATACTCCACACGTGACCACCTCTAGGCAGCAGGACTCTTAATGATGCTGCTTGAGACTCTCCAACCAAACAACCAACCTCTTCTTGATTATAACGCCCACCAGTCTTCCAGTCCGCTCTTCAACCACACAAAGATGGCGAAGTCCTAATCTGCCAAACATCTCAACTGCATACTCCATCGGCGCTTTGGCACAAACGGTCAATGGCGTCCTGTCAACGAACATGCTCAGATCGAACTCTTGCACCTCGGATGCGCCAAGCAATCTGACAAGGGCATTTTCCTCGAATTGTTTGCCAACTTCTTCCAGCCCAAATTCAAGCTCACCTTCCGCGATGTAGCCTTGCAGCATACCGTCCTGTACAAGGACAAGCCCGGCATCCATCAGACCTCGTCTTCTGAGCTGAGATAGCTTTTCTGAGAGCATCTTCCTTGACACACGGCCCATTGATGGTACTTCGACGGTGATTTCTTTCATCGTCTGTTCTGGAGGTATGAGCTCCTCGACAAGATATTGTTCGGCTTGAACGAGTGCCATGGAATGCTCAGCATCGAGGAATGGATGACCAAGCACTGTCTGCGCCAGATCGTAGACACCTTCTTCTTCTAGAGCATCTGCCACCCATTTGGCAACCATGATGCCGATCATATCGGGGACGATGTATTCCAGCTCACCAGTCAGTTCGAACATGATTACCGCAAGAGATATGGTCATACGAGACACTCCAGCAAGAAATGAAGCTGCTCCCACCATCGCAAAAATGCCGGGTGAAATTCCAGGGATGAATTGACCAAGCAGACGACCGAAGAATGCACCACCATCCAAAGCCGGAATAATAATGCCAGAGGGGACTTTACATCCGAAAGTTATGATTGTGAGGATGAGCTTGACCAGCGTACCGTGGACCAGCCAGCCGATGTAGCCCATTCGTTCTGGTATTGAGCCTTCTTTCTCGCAAACCCAAGATTCGCTTGAGGCACCCCTGCAGTCGACGAGGAGGTTTTTGATAATAATGTCGCCGGGTTCGCGTGTCAGTGGATTCGGATATTGGAGAAGAGCTGTCACAAAAACGACCAGAAAGACCTCAAAGACAGGATTGTTCTTGATGATGTTATATTTGCGGAATGTCTTCGACCAAAGAAAGTTTGCTTTGCAGAATATCCCACCGAATAGACCGCCGGCGATGCCGAGTATCACAAAAACAACGTAGTGGATCGCCCTGTAAGATGTCCCGTAGTTCGTCTCGAAGAGGACGAGTTTACCGGTTCCGGTAGGGTTGAGTGCTTTAAGAGTGATTGCTGCAAAAAGAGAGCAGACAAAAGCATGCCAAAGAACTTTGCGGGGAAAGTAAGTGCTGATCTCTTCATAACTGAACAGCACACCCCCAATGGGCGCACCAAAAGCGACTGACAAGCCAGAGGAACAGCCTGCTGACAGAAGCTCTCGCAGCTTTCGACCATTCTCTTTGTATTTTGGAAACTGAACACCAACGAGATACGCCACACAAGTAGAGATGTGAACGAAAGGCCCTTCTTTGCCAAGGCACATACCAGTTGAAACTGCAAAGATTGAACCAACAGCCTTCACGACAAGGACCTTCAGGTCGAGGAAGTGCGGTATCACAAAGCCGGAAAGGATGGTCTTGATCTCAGGTATACCAGATCCCGCAGCCATGTACATTGATTTGCCAGTGACGGGCGGGTCCGGCGACTGAGAGGCTTTGCCATTGTTTTGGAACTTATCACCGTGTCCAGGAGCTGCTGCTGGTAACGATTTCTTCGTAGTCATGGTGACAGAGCCGCTAATGATACCAAAGATCAAGGCGAAGCCGACATATATGGCAAAGCTGCTCCAATAATTCTGCGTCCAGACTTTCCAATCCGTGCATGTGTCTCCCGGATCAGCTAAAGCCACCAATGGTGACCTCTTGGTACAGCAGCTCTCCCTACTCGCAAAGATATTCTTGCTGCAGTATCCTATCTTCCAATCGCTGACAGTCACCACTCCCACATCTACCACGAATGCCACACATGCAGTGAGCATTCCGATCAGAGCAACAGCAATCCATCCCTGACAAGAATCAAATGCTACGGACACACTGTACCTTAATCCTTTCCGCGACTGGATGGCTCGTCTTCGAAAGGAGTCTTTGACCTGTAATGATTCAGTCCCGGATCTTATGCAAACAACTGACGGTAGCGCACCAAGTCATGAAGCCAGTCTATAGTAGTGTAGTCATTGTATGGCAATCGTTCTCCAACCGCAGTGTCCGATAACAGCTGCTCCTCTTTGCTCAAATGAGAGCTAATAATCGAGTGAGCATCACTCTCCTGCTGCAAAGTACTCAGCCGCCTGTGTTGGGCTGATAATAGGTGCGTATGCTCAGTGGAATTTTGCGCCATACCGAAACTTCAGGGCAACAGGAGAAGACATAGGAAAAGACGAAGAGATAGCCATCTGGAAGAAAGACGCAGATCGTAGCCCCCACACTCCAGAAGTGTAGCTACTGCTGCACGAGGAGGAGCCTTCAACTGGTTTGCTAGATAAGCCATTGTGTAGAGATAAGGCAGGCAGGTGCCAATGGGCTAGGAAGGGCTTCAGATATCGACGCTCCTTCCGATCTAGGCCGCATAGAATCAACACGTGATAGAAGACTCGCTCGACTCATGGACTGGTGCTCAACGGAGTATTTTCACAACAATGTACTATTGTACTACGTATGTTGATGGTCATCATCTTGGGCATCCACCTAGCTCGGGCACCTTCGGGAGGCATGCCAGCCACATAACCCTCTGCCGAGCAGAGCTAAAATGGCTAAACCCTACATCACGCTGGTCCTTGGAAATGGTATGTATAAGTTCAGACGAAAGTGTCTTCATCTCGAACTGCTTATTCCAACTTGTCAAGATACGCCAATATTCACCTCGACCTGGCCTTATAGATCCTCTACGGTCTATCTGAAGTAAAAAGGTAAGCTCATACGAGTAGGTAGTGACCTTGACAGAGCTCGAATGTCATGCACGTGCTCACATTCATGCCCCTCAAACCAGTTTCTTAGGACCAAACAATCATTATTCCACCGATTTTGCCCTCATGCAATAGACACCAAATCCAATTGTGACAGAGACATTACGAGCCTTGATCATGAGTCACTCAGCAAGGCCCAATGGGGTCCATGAGCAGCTTCGCTACATCCCTCTTGGGTACGACAACGATTGCTCGGAAAAATCAGCATTGGCTCTGGTCTTCAACCTTCGACCGGAGTGGGAGCATTCGGAGGGGCCAATTGAGATCGTCAAATTCAAGGACGGAATTACCAATACCGTGGGTCTCTTGCAAGTACCCATGCATGAGGGATAAGACTGAAGCTTGGACAGCTTCTCAAAATTGTCAAGAAAATACCTAAAAAGTCGACCGAGCAAATAGACGATGAGGCTATCCTCCTACGCGCATACGGGAACAACACCGACATTCTAATAGACCGGGACCGAGAAGCACAATCACATGGTCTACTTGCAGAGCGCGGTCTGGCCCCGCCTTTACTGGCACGATTCAACAACGGCCTGTTGTACAATTTCATTCAAGGTCGGGTCTGCACGCCTCAAGATCTTATTAAGGAAAATGTTTGGCGAGCTGTTGCACGAAGGCTGGGAGAATGGCATAACGTACCTCTTCCTGACGACTATCATCGTGAGACTGTGACAAATGGCGTCAAGGGCGCCTACGCCAACGGCCATACTCCTGCGAAAAACAAGCCAACACCAAATATTTGGACTGTCATGCAAAAGTGGATCGATGCCCTCCCTACGGACACATCAGCTGCTCAAAGCCGAAAGTCGCAGTTACAAGCAGAGCTTGACCGGTCATTCCGCGACCTAGACTCTGTAGGTTGTTCAGAAGGGCATGGAATGATATTTGGGCATTGCGACCTTCTCAGTGCTAATGTTATCATCCTACCCAATGGACGGAAGACCAACGCTGCCAACGACTCCGAATCTGAAACAGTAAGATTTATCGACTACGAATATGCTACTGCCTGCCCCGCTGCTTTCGATGTCGCCAACCACTTTGCTGAGTGGGGCGGCTACGACTGTGACTACACCATGTTGCCAAGCCAATCAGTCAGGAGATCCTTTCTAAAGGAATATTTGAGGGCCGTAACGGCGTGGCCGCGAGACGTGAACCTGAAAGAAGATATGGTTCAGGATATGCTGAAGCAGGTAGATGACTTCAGAGGCATTCCAGGCTTGTACTGGGGCATTTGGGCGCTGATACAAGCCACAATCTCACAGATTGATTTTGACTATGCATCTTATGCAGAGGTCAGGTTGGGTGAATACTTCGCCTGGCGCGAAGAGACGGATGGTATCAGAAAGGCAGAAGGTAAGGAAATGCCTCTGCGTGAGCGATGCTGGGCCAGATTGGGGTGAACTTGTGCTGTGGACCACATCCAGTCTTCAACAGCTGGATGTTGGTGTCCGAACGGTTGATGAGCATAGGAATGAGGTCGATGACATGTAACAGCGATTAGCATTGTGTCTTCAACGACTTAAGGATACCCAACAACGTAGAGCGGAGATGGGATAGACGCCCACCATAAGAGCGTTCATATAATCCTAATCTGGAATAAGAAATCATCAAGCATCAGCCTTGACGTCCGTACATCAAAGGTCTTCTCTATTGAGTAACGCTGTAAATATACCCTCAGTCTGGAGGACCACTGAGCAAAAGTCTCCACAAGTTGGGAAAATTCGTGGCACTACGTAATTTGACTAGTACTACTTACTTAGTAGGTCCACCACGCCAAGACCAATTCACGTACTAACCCAATACAAACTAGCCGCGCACTTCCATGCCCATAAAACCTTTTCCTCCAGCCGCGAACCTCTCCTCTCTCCTTCTTTTTTCCCATTATCAGTAGAGGTTTACATACCATGTAAACATAACAACGAAGCTCCACGCACCGTCGTGGCATGCTGAGGGTCACCACTTCCAATTACGGACGGACTACTTGATCGATTCTCTGAGATTTGACTCGGGGTTTCGAACTGGTGTGGTTCTTTTCTCCTGTGGGTTTCTCCTCCGTTCCCGGCTTCGAAGAAATGAAAAAGTTGCATCTTCCTTTTTCCCAATCTCATATTATGGGTCCGGCTTTATTCGATGCTGGTTGTGGCCTGTGGAGGGGGTGCTACATTTGACTATTTTGAGAACATGATTCCTGCGGGCGCAGAGGTTTGGTGTGCGGCGTGAAGTTCTATGGCTGAGGTGCAATTTCATAATGTAATCCAGAAGTTCGATAGTGAGAATCATTGTGTTGATATCTCTGCCGAGGGTAGTCATCGAAGATGAATATGTCTAGACAAATGTGGATTACTTTCCAGTGACTCGCTATGCATTTATCATCATGGTACATGATACCCTTCTTCAGGCTCGTCCTGGTCGACCAACCTGGATAATCTCTCCTGTTCTGGCTTGATCACTCCGTAAGACCGGCCAGCTACTTCCATCTGCTTTCACCAGCGTTAATTCAAGCTTCGTTCCCATGATCTTGAACTGTGATGTCTTTTGATCAATGGCTGCGAAGAGAGGTATAGTTTCAACATAGCGTTTGCTGTCGGATGTAGTCAGGTCGAGGTCAAGAGTCGTCGGAGATGAAAAGTCAACTTTTGCTTTAGCCTTGTCAACCTTCTTCAGATAGAATGATGCAATAATTGTCGTTGGCGTCTGATAGAAGTCGCTCCTGATTGAATATTTAGCTTTAGATAGCTTCCCGTTGGCAGCGCAACCGACTCACCTGACAGTCTCGAGCTTTTCTTCACCCGCAGCTTTTCCCTTACCAATAAACATGTGTCGCTTCTTCTTTTTGCAACCTTCGATCTTCATGAATTCGTCAAACTCTAGCACTCTCCTCTTGCAGCAGGTCCAGCCTTTACTCCCTTCATGAAATAGGGCGTGCCCCGGATGATGGACGCACTCTTCATCTTTCCGATCTGTCGAAGGGTCATATGTTACATTGCAGCCCCGTCTCCTGCAAGTGGCTTTCGGCTTGATCTCCAGTGATGGGTCATCGGATTCAGACTCTGGCGGAGGGGCGGGCGATCTTGCGGGTGATGGAGCGGCTACCGCAGGCTGCGTGCTTAAATTACCGTTGCTAGCTATGGTAGAGATAGGTTTCGGAGGAGGAGGGGTAGGTAGGGTGTCTTCTGAGGTCACAGGCGGAGGGGCAGGTGTTGGTGTATCTTCAATGGTTGAGTGCTTCCCAGTCGTACAGGGTGGTATATCAAGAAATTCATCAAAGGTCAAGACACGGGGTTTGCAACATTTCCATCCTTGGTATTGAAGTCAGCATCCACCTCCAACCCACCGTGCAGCTGAACCCACCTTTTTGGCCCTCATGGAATTCTGGCGGTCCTGGGTGGTATACACAAGGCTCTTCTGGGTCTGCGAAGACTTTACCACATCCTTTGTGGACACATTTTCCTGAAGCCATGGTGTCGTGAGTGAACGAGGAAGACCTACTGTGCCAGAGCGAGGTAATCGAGATTGAATACTACCCGGATGATAGTAATTGTTGGAGCGTTCACCAAGCCGAAGTTCAACCGCATGTATCCTTGGCGCTGGGTCATCGAACGAGTAGACTCTGACTTGATGTTTTCGTCGCGGCTTGGTTGTGTTGCAACAGAGATAAGGCATGGTCGATGGTTATTAAAACAGCTGTCAAGATGCTCTCACGAATTCTTGTTGATAATGAACTTGAGCACTTTGGTTCTATTTCTGACTAACCCAGTTACACGGTTTCGGTGTTTGGGCAGATAAGAATGCCTGGTCACAGCAGCAAGTTACTCAGAAGCCACCGAGCTGGCATTCCGCTTCGGAACACAAACCTCAAATCCACAACCTAGTTCTTATCGTTGCCACCAAGCTGTACAAATTAATCCCTTCGAGAGCATCAATTGTCCCTCCGTCGTTGGTCCCTGGATTCAGGTGTCCAACCTCGAATTTAATCTGACAGTTAGACCCCCCTAACTCCTGCTAAGTATTGGGATATTGTTGACTTTGAGCAACCCATTTTGGCCGCATTCTTCTCTGTGGGTGATAAGAGTGATCCCAAGCTTGAAGGTTGCGAATGTTCTCGCATTCCTATGTGGTAGGAGCACGCGGTGTATAATTTCCAGTTGAATTGGTGTCAACCTGAGCGAGGTCCTTATCAAGGCTGGTCGTTCAGTCATATCTGGTTCGCTATAAATTAGTAAGCTCGTTTCAGTTTTCATGTTTCCCATTCTTATGTGTCGATTGATTATGCCGTGCGAAGAGTTTCCTGGGTTTTAAAGGCAGGAAATTTTCGAAGCAATATGTCTTGGACTTCAGCTACTCCGAAAAGGACGCCAGATCTCAGCAGATTCTTGTTTGGAGATACAATCGATAATTTTGTCTTAATGACACGTTGCTGCTCTTGCAGGCAGCCCTACTCCGCCGGAGAAATCTCCTCCCAAGGGCAAATTGCTTCTCCCATCTGCTCTCTCTGATAATCATAACCAAAATGGTGCTAGCTGGAATGCTCCCGCCCTAGATTCTGTTGTCTCAGTAAATGTTTCCAATTTTGGCGCTCCCAGGCAGTGTGTCCATCAAATCAAATCAAATCAAATATCTGGCAAATCAAATCAACTCGGTGCTTTCGTCAAGGCAAATCAGCCTCCGTGGATTTGACAAATTAGTCAAACTGAGGTCCTGATAGAAAGACTTAATGTCCAAGGACATTTTCGATGGAATAATATTGGTCTTGGCGGACACTCGATCTGGACGATAATTCAAATTGTCAGACAATAGTAAGTATTTATATGTGTTACCCCTGCGTTTTGTCTTTCCTCATAATCCTGTAGCTAATTTCCTTGCAATCAAACAGATTGGTTGGATAATAGGAACTTGGAGCCGCATGAAGCTAGATGACCGTCTTAGCAAAGCTATACTACAGAACTCTGCGAAGGAACTTAAGTGGTACCAAGCTTAGCTCATATAATGGATTTGGAGGTTGCAGCCAAGAGCTGAACAATATCTACTGCAAAAGCTCACCAGCGGATTTCCGGCGACTTCCAGAAAGACGGTAGTCTGCAAGCTAATGACTGCCTACTGTACTAATAAAGAGCCACCTCAATCTACACGTCGGCTCTTTGATATAACAGGCCACTCAAGGTTATTGGGCTCCACACGCTAAAAATGCGTCTCTTTCCGCGTCGCTGCTCAGTTATCGATTGCAGTATCAGAGTGACAAGCACGTTCTTATTCGTGCCTACAGCAGAAAAGCACAGACTACTGACAGCCTCGAGCATGACAGGCACTAACGTGCATGCTTAGGGATCTAACAACCCAAATCGCCCGTTAATGTAGCTCACCCACTTGTGCAGCATACCCACTTGTGCAGCATACCCACTTGTGCAGCATACCCACTTGTGCAGCATACCCACTTGTGCAGCATACCCACTTGTGCAGCATACCCACTTGTGCAGCATACCCACTTGTGCAGCATACCCACTTGTGCAGTACCCACTTGTGCAGCATACCCACTTGTGCAGCATACCCACTTGTGCAGCATACCCACTTGTGCAGCATACCCACTTGTGCAGCACCAAATTTCGAACAGCCACTACTTTGTGGGCATAAGGTCAAATCTTCTCAAACCTAGTTTATACTGAAGTCAAGAACTGCCACTTATTCTATTTAGACAGCCTCTGAAGCTTCAAAATCGTTAATAATGGGCTGAATTTGTTGTAAAGCACGGTGCTGGCGCGCAAGGGCTACTACCATGCTCACCACTAGATGAACTCAAGTATATTTCAAGCGTATTCGGAGTGCGTTCGGAGTGCGCTCAGAGTATACTCTGAACGCGCTCTGAGTGTTTGAACGTACTTGGATGTAGTGCTGGCGCATTTCTTAAATAGGCAAATACTTCAGAGCAAATTTAATAACTCAAGTACTACTCAAGTATATTTAATAACTCAAATATTATTTGTGTTGAGAAGTGCATTCGGGACCCATTCGAGGGCTATGCACAGAGCATGCGCAGGCCGTACACAAGGCATGCGCAGGGCACGCCAAGGTCATGTGATATATCACATGACATCAATGCTGGTGCAGATCCATAAGTATCTGCCCCTATTCTAGATAGAATCTACAATCTCTCTGGCCACGCCATGGCAACATACTGCTTCTGCCCTGTCTATTTCCAACAATTTGAAAATATTAAAAAAATTCATTAAAAAGTTTTGAACTCTTTAACTTAAAATTACTAAATATTTAAGAAATCTTATAGTTATTATATTATTTTTACCTGATTATTTGTATTGTTTACTTTAATTTGATTTACTAATAATGTCACGGCTGCCATGCTTGTCGGCCGCTAGCGCTAGGGCCGCCGGGTATTGATTGGCACTACGCGTTAGTAAGGGGCATGCTCGCTATATAGGAGCGACCCCAGTGCCATCCTCGTCGGCTCTGCAGTCTTAGGATAGCACTCAACATGGGCTGAAGATCTCGCGCACTCGTCGCCTGCTTCCAACGTGACACGTGACAAATAATTTATAAAATTACTTCTTTTAAGTTAAATTTTGATCTCTTGATTTCTTGAATTTTGATCTTTTAATTTCTTGAATTTTGAATTCTTGATTTCTTGATTTCTTGAATTCTTGAATTCTTGAATTTTGTGTTACAGCACCTACCCAGGATAGGGAGGTTGCCCGAGCCCCGCAGCCTGGAAGCTAGGCGCACGGCTAAGACACTAGGACCAGACACCAGGGTAGTGCTCACGGACAGCCAAGACTGAGCATACTAACGGTTGCTCAGCTCTCCTCACTACTGAGCACAACTGAGCATACGAATCTCGTATCTATATAAGCACGCTCTTTCCGCAGATAGTCAGATAGTTCTTCTTACTCCGTAGTCAACTCATGTTATCAGCTCATACCCAAGTTGAAGACATTCAGTGATCTATCTGTACCCCCTGCTCTACCAAACCAACCCCCTTGGACTTGATCTCAGTTAAGACTTGTCTTGACCAGTTGAGCCCTAACATTTTGATCTCTTGAATTTTGATATACATAGAATAATATAGATATATTTGATTATATGATAACTGAAATAGCTGAATATGTTCAAGTAGCGTTTGAGTAACATTAATACTAACTTGAACTAGTGTTAATCTGATATTGAACAACTAGCACAGGGCATGATAGTAGTCAAGGTCATGTCCACATCCAATGTAGTGTCATAGCCACCACGTGAGCTGGCAGGAAATGGTTTACCAGCTAGCTTCTTCCCTTCAAACAACTCGTCAAAGAATTTGCGACTGCGACTACGACTGCGACTGCGACCGCGACCGCGACCGCGAGTGGCTGTCTGATTCTGGGCCAGATTGGAGTACCACGTACATCTTGATCAATGTCTTCACCAGCGACGAGCTCGTACCATGTATCCAATCCAGTGAATTGCTCGGTGGTGTCAAAATACTTCCGGCGGTCTTTCCTAGATCCCTCACCACTACCGCATAACCTGGACATTACTAGTATACAGTCTTGCAGACCATCCATCTCTTGCAGCCGGCAGACACTCCCCTCATCGGCGCTCATCTGCAAAATGAGGCCACTGTTGGTGCTAAACTAATTTCTGTCAACAATCGTTTTGGCCTCTTTTCAGTATTTGCATCTGGGCTGGAAAGTCTCTACTACTAACTTCGTGATCGCTCATAAAACCCCCTTGTATTCTAGCGTTGCAATTCATCGCCATTCCTTTTCGAGCCACTGTAGGAACGTTCCTTAATGATCCACAGAAAGTTTGGGGGTCTGTACTAGTAATACCAGGCAGGCTATCCATTAAATCAAATAGAGTCAAGTAACCCAAATCCGTGCTTTCGTCAAATCAGTCAAACGGAACTTGTCTTGGCAGAAAAGGTCTTTTTATTTTAGAGATAAAGGGTCTTGGCGGACTCTTCTTGTGGGATGAAATTTCGGGGTCCCGATTTAATTTATATGATTGATGGATACTCTGATTGCGGGACATGCCTTTGCAACTGCTTCAGCAAAGCAGGCTAGTATTTTCCAGCGAAGTGCCTTCAGGTTAGAGAGAATTGCTAAAATTATTGAACAACAACAAGGAATTAGTACTATATAAAGGAAAGATGGCGTACTGTTTACTCGTGTGGGTCTCCTTGACGCTCAAGAACTGAGTCCAGCTTCCACTAAGAGTCTCCATTCGCATGACGTACTAACTAGTATATTCTAAGAACAACGGACCCGTGTCATTCGCTGAAATTTGATAAAGGCGACTCACCAAGAACTGAACCCTGTTAGCCTGAGCCGATGTTTGTCATACTAAAAAAAACCTATTGTAGGGTTGTTGATACATGATTAAGAGAGTATTCGTGTCCAGCATTTCCGCCCATGGACGGGGTCGGTCGGGTCTGAGAACCACAAAGAGGTCTGACATCTGCTCCGGAGAAAGACTCGACAAAGTTTCCCAAGACTCGAGAAAAGCAAGCTAAGGGCTTTTGCGCCTAAGGTCGTGGGCTACAGGTTAGTTCACGTTTATGCCACGGTCTAATCTATACAAGTTAAGGCAGAGGATTTTACAGTTGCTTCCTAGCGAATTAGCATTATCCCAAACATAAAGAGACCTATTTGCCATCAAAAAGTTCAAGTTTCTTACCTTCGTAATAGCTAAACAGCCACTGTTACCAGGGTTTCCAGTGCTTCAACAACCGCCCAGGCGAAGCAGATGTTGAGTATACTTAACTATGTTCCCTATCTGACCCGGAGGGACACAAAATTGTCAACTAAGGCACCTTACTACACCTCGCTCCCTCGTAGCCGTCAGACGCTACGTGAAAATCAGTAATGTGCAAAGGAATAGTGTCGGCTGCTGGTTGTCAACCCGAAGGTAAAAGAAGTGTAGCAAAGCCGAGACTCTTCCAAAGAAAAGTGAGTTTCATTTAGTTAGTAGCTAAGCATATTTGTCAAGACCCGGACGCTACCAACTCTCACGACTATTGCGCAAAACATACCTGCGAGTAGCACTGGCTATCCGTCAAATTTGCCAAATCCCCTGTCAACACAGAATCCCTTCGAGCTTCAATGAGGGTGTCCGCCGCACTACGCATGCACAGCGCTCGCCTGACCCTCTTCACGCGCGCCAATTGCTCGCTCTGCGAGACCGCAAAGACGAATATCGCCGTGGTGCAGAAGAAGAGGCCGGTCGACTACACCGAGATCGATGTCATGGCCAAGGGACAGGAAAATTGGAAGCATCTCTACGAGTTCGATACGCCGGTTCTACATGTTCAACGCGTCTCCTACACCTATTCCAAGCCGGATATCGTTTCAGAAGCTAAGAAGCTGATGCATCGGTTTTCGGCTGAAGAGGTGGAAAGATTGGTCCGAGAGGCAGAGGAGGGGATTATATGAACGACATACAATTGATTTTTGGGCATCGCTACAAGAGATCGTATTCTGCTCCGCTGATCACGACTTCTTCCCTTCCTTGTCCTTGGACGATAGAGAGCTGGCAGTTCCGTATACAACGCCTTTCGCCATGTTCAATGCTGCATGTCCGTATGATCCTTTGGCCTTTACGAGAGAATCTGCCATGAATGTGGGTAGCGCGACCATATCGGCAACGACAGATATCTGAGGCGTATCAGCTGGTGAACAAGGCGGGTGAGAGAATGGAGGAGACGTACCATGTGAAAGCCTTGATCTGCATATCTCCTAGCTTGCTCTCCTGATATGCAGTATATGCCTGCTTTCTTCCCCGCGGTCACAGCTGCCTTTCGAATCTTTTCAATCGCAGCCTTGAGCTCCACATCAGGCTCTCCTGATGTGATGGGGTGATGGAGATTGTTCCCGAGATCGTATGGGCCAACAAGGAGAACATCAATACCTTCCACCTTCGCGATCGCCTCAACCTGTTCAAGGTCTAGTGTCAGCAAGCCTCCCGTCCATCAGCTCCAGCACTCACATCTTCAAAAGCCTCCCTCGTCTCAATCTGCACAACCGTCACCAGCGCCTCGTTTGCCTGCTGCAAATACTCCAACCCAGACGGATCCCCAAACGCGCCCATCGAAAACGGACTCCCATACCCCCTCTGGCCCACAGGAGGAAACTTGGCACTCTGGACTAATTTTCTCGCATCGTCAGCCGTATACAACAAGGGCACCACGATGCCGTGCGCGCCCGAATCAAGTGCGCGCTTCACCATCCACCCCTCATTGGCTGGTATCCTCACAATAGGACTGACGCCACAGCTTGCGATGGCGGCGACGGACTCGTGCATCTGGTTGTCGGCGATGTTACCGTGCTCACAGTCCACGCATACCCAATCGTAGCCCGTTCGCGCTATGGTGCGAGAGAGGTTGCCGCCGGGTAGCATCTGCCATGCGCCGAAGCTGATGCCGGAATGGCTGAGAAGGGCTCTGCGCAGGCGGTTGGCGTTTTGCATGATTGAGGCCATCACGATGGTTCTTTGTTCTGATGCTCTTCTCTCTACATACCCTTTGTTGTGTTCAGATGTGTGGAAGGGGAAGTGGCTTTCTTGCTTCAATTGAGAAATGTTACCAGTACACTCGGCATTGGCGGACGCACAGAAAGTTTGGAAATTGCTCAACCCGTCATTGCGGGGTCCTGCCACAACGGGAACCCCCCTCCTTCCATCTCCTCTCGGGTCAATGATTCACCGAAATCCGAAGACCAAGGTCGTTGCAATGCCTCTTCAAATTCTGATGCTGAACGTCTAACTCAATGCGTTGCTCGCACGTCGTCCTCACGCTTACGTACTAGTATATAACAGTGTTGTAACGGCGTAAGAGAGTCGTTAGAGTTCAAAGCGGAGAAAGACCTGCAAATTGCATAGTTGAAGTGCTAAGGTCAGACGTCGGCGCCGGATCTTCTTCTTTACAGGCTCCGTGGACACAATTGATCATTGTTGGTGTCTAGTGTACTCTAGTAATGTGCCTTGCTCACGACCAAATAAGGTATAACGGCTAGGCTTCGTCCGCAAACCCATTGGCTACACCCCGACCATCTCCTGGCTCGCTATGATCCGCTCTTCTAAGAAACTTAATCATCACTGGCATCTCTTCCATCCGCTGGACGCTCTCTTCCAGTTTCTGAAGCCTGTTTTTTGCTTCCGTCAGGGCGCCATCAGTCTGCAGGCCCTAATCGGCAATGCCATCCTTTGGTGGTGGCTTGTTGTGCCGCTGGATTGAGGGAGCGTGACTTGGTTTTGGTTTGGGCTTTGGCGAGTCTTCGTGCTGCTTTAACTGTCCATCTTCAAGACTGTGCTCCCTGCCACCCGCAGCCTCAACTCTGCCTCAACCGCCTTGTTCGTTGCAGAATCATGGTTACCTGAACTGATCTTGATCCCCCTATCTGCTAGTCCTGCACCGAACGCCGTGATGGGGAATTGCTCTTCTGCGTCGGTCTGCGACCAGCTGCCGCCTGTTCCTCTGCCTCTATAATCTCATCTAGCACACTCTGCGGCGGCTCTATATCAATGGCTGCTTGAATGTCACCATGAACGCTGAAACGACTGAAGTCCTAGAAAGTCAATTTCTTCCCAAATAAGGGAAAGGAAATCAGACATCATTGTACGGAGAGAAATGAAGAGCACATTTTCGGACATCAGATTAAATGCTAAACGAGGTATGAGAATTGGTGCAGCAACCGACAGGATGTCGAGGGCGGTTCCTGCAAGAACGGCGAAGTCACGTTCGCTGGCGATCGACAAGGCGTGTAGGCGCAGGATCAAATAGATTGTGTAGATGAGGCTGAAGCCGACGTCGAGGAAGGCCCAAAGATCCTGGCTGCACACCTGCCAACCACGCTCGAGAATGAAACGAATTGGTCAGGAACCCTGTCGGCAGCATACTTGTCGAAAATGAGCTCGAGCGTGGTGTAGCTTGTGGTGAGATGCCGCTTGCGCTTGCTCAAGACCAGGATGTATGGAGTAAGGAGGATGATGAAATGGCATGTTTCAAGGATACTTCTTGTCCGGGGGGCGGCGAGTCGATACTGATTCAACGGAGGTGCCCTCCTTGGGTTGCATAACGATATTGGCTTGTGCTTCCAATGATCCGGGATAAGCGCCTCCAGTTTCAGAATAATATAAAGAGAAGAACGAACTAATTGTCACGAGTTTCTCAGCTAATATATATAATCTTTATATGCTGCGGGCATCCTGGTTGTGGTAAGCTTTGACCTGTCCAGCTGTGCCCAGAAAATAACAACAACCTAGTGCTTCTCTATACACCGAGCCTGGGTATCGCTACCGGATGTATGCCTGACTCTTGGAAGATGCAGCGTTCATGGTGGACTAGCCCTGCTTTTTTGGTGGCCTGTTCTGCATGTCAACACGTAGAGTCCATGCAAACCCAAAGTCTATCTTCGTTTGGATGAGACTGACGGATAATTTGTATTGTACATGATTACCCAGGTCAGCATACTGGACATTTGTAGAATCCACTAGAAAACGCAAATCTTGTCCTGCTTCACCGATCACTGCCCAGCAGCCACGATGCTCCAAATGCGGTATGAGTCCGCGCATGTCCATTGAGCTCCATGGCAAGTTAAAGAGATATTCGACTTCCACATTTCGGAGCGCAGCAGGGCGAGGCAAGAAGCATGCTATCGGTTTTGTGCTTTCGTGGACGACCGCATCATTGCTATCAGGGTGGTTCCCTTCGACATTTGCTATAGACCGTTTTAGAAGTTGATGATCTTGTTTACGGATGTGTACGTACGAGGAGTCGGTAATGAGGCAGACTGGTCGAAGTGTATCATCAAATCCAAAATGAACAAATTGCACACCTATGTTGCAAGACGTCAGGTCGACAGTACAGATGGGATTGGACTCTCGATATGATAACCAGCTAGACTTGGCGCAGGAGGAGATGTCCGAGGCCTCACATCGACTGTTCCAATAAATTTTTGGGGCCAAATTGCCTAGCATGTTATCAGTGACCGCGGGTGTCTCAAACCAGACTCTCCGTCGAGATCTGTACTTGAACACGTGTCCAGTCCCTCGAACGCAATATCTTTGCTTACGGAAGAATTCTCTGCTCAACTCACTGTACGGACATATCCATAATTGTTGACCTCGATATGCGATGCGATGCCGAAAGTTGCTCGGGCCCTTGACACTGCCAAGGTATATCCCAACGCACAGGTCTTCCGCTCCTTCACGCACTAGCACAACTTCAAGAAGAGCCTTGAAGATGCCGTTGCCTTCATCGAGGCTTACTGGGATGGTCCCAAGGTCGATCTCCACACCTCTTGAACTCAGTGAGAAGGTCGGGCTGACAGCACCGAACGCTGAAGAGTTCATATAATGACAATTTGCGAAAGCAGATGGTGAGGATGCCAACAGGCCTGATGAGAATGTCGAGCTGGCCATAGACCAGACAAAAATTGATTGGTCGTCAGATTGTTTGATGATCTCCTCCTGCAGCCTTCTGAAAGCTTTAGCGCCCTCTCCATAGAGCATAGGCATATTGACGTTGAACAAGCCCATCAAACTGTACGCAAGATCCTCGGTCCGAGTGGCCTCCCTTGCAGCTGCCCACGACATTCTATGTGCAATGGAATATCGCGCAGGATCGATTCCATGGAGAGCTGGCTCATAGATGCCTGTAATGGAGCTGATCAATGACGACAAGGAGGAGCGAGTCCCGAATTCATGCCAATTTGCATCGAAAAAAATAACCTCCATTGGAGCTAGTAGTTCCTGCAACGTCCAACTTCTTGTGAACCATGATGAGTGTTCGAATGTTCTCTCGCTATCTCCAATGACAAATCCGGCTAAGTATGCAAGACAGACTTGACCCGTTTCGTAGTACTTCCACATTGAGTTTATTGCCTCGCTTAGGGCTGCACTACTAGACTTGTCGATGCAACAAGTATCAATCCAGATGTAGTCAAATTTCAGCGACCGCGCGATCCGGCAGGCAGATCTCAGTTTAGTCACGCCTTCTTTCTGACACGTTGAAAGATGAGCGATATCCTGGAACGAGACTTCTTGTTTAGCCGGGAGCCATCGGTGGGAGAGTGTACAGTATGTGGCATCTAGCTCACAATCAAATTCTTCTAGCTCAAGCAATTTAGTATTGACCAAATACATGGTGGTGATTGCCTCAGAGACTCCTTGGTGTGATTGATTATGCGACAGGGATCCTAATGTCTTCCATTCCGTGAATGTCTGAATCGAGTGGAGGTCTTGCCAACAACATAGCTTTGTAGGAAGCGCGACGGCCCGCCTAGAGGATAAGAAGGTCAGGACACAAGACACGAACACGTGACCGCCAAGACGGCATAGGAACTTCGTCCTGCAAATATCAGCGTTGTGTCTCAAGACACGAAACACTATCCAGAGTACTAAGAGGCCAACAGGTTGCTGGTCAAACCATTTGCAAGCTTCCTTGCCTGATGAGACACCGAAGCCAAGTCGAACCACTGCAGTGCAGCCAAGCCAGTCATTGCTTGGATAGAAGGATTACGGGGAAGGCATAGTGTTGACCTTCTGAGAGGGCTAATTGGCCGCGTTTAATATGCGTAATCCCTGCGTTTCTGCTGCTTCTAATTGGTCAATTTCCGACGCAATTTCGCTTCTAATTTCGCTGTACGGTACAGCCAATTGTACATAGATCTACGCTCTCTACCCCCGTAGCTATCAATCAACTTGCTTCTCTACGCACTCTGCACAGCAGGTTGACAGTTATGAGCCCGGTTGACGTGACCACAGCCTAATTTCTACTCATAGACTCAATTGGTCGAATTCAGAGCTCTTATCCTATCTCTAGAATCCAATTGGCCCTCTCTTCGCAGCGCATTCGTCAGAACGCTTGGTTATCGAAGATCTACAGTGCATTACGCACTCACCGACGCAATGACGGCCATCCAGAAGACTCCTGTGGTGCTAGAAGGCCCTAAGGACTGGAAGGAGTGGTACGAAGTCGTCAGATCCACTGCCTGGAGCAGGGGAATTTTCGAATTAATCGATATCAATGCTCCTACGCAGCCGATTCAGCCTACAAAGCCTCATAATCCTCAGTATGCAGACGCCAAAGCGGCTGCTACCTCATACGCGGACCTT